AGCAAGTCTCAGAGAATTCACCAAGACAAGACCAGCCTACAAGAAGTACTCAAACAGGTTATGCACGGAACACCATAATAATAACCACGAATATAAAACACCAAAACCCAAAGATAGGCCGGGCGCTGTGGCTCACGCCTGTAATCCTAGCTCTCTGGGAGGCCGAGGCGGGCGGATTGCTCAAGTCAGGAGTTCAAAACCAGCCTGAGCAAGAGCGAGACCCGTCTCTACTATAATAGAAAGAAATTAATGGCCAACTGATAATATTAAAAAAAAAATTAGCCGCCGGCATGGTGGCGCATGCTGTACATCCAAGCTACCGGAGCTGAGCAGAAGATCACTCGAGCCCAGGAGTTTGAGGTTGCTGTGAGCTAGGCTGACGCCACGGCACTCATCTAGCCTGGACAACAAAGCGAGACTCTGTCTCAAAAAAAAAAAACAAACAAAAAAAAAAACCAAAGATATTAAGGCAGATATTACCAATGCTCAAGAGAAGAAATCAAAGCAACAACATACCCAACAGAACGAACAGTGAATCTACCTACCTATCAGTTCTCTCAATAAATATGAATGGCTTAAACCTCCACTCAAGAGACATAGGCTGGCTGAATGGATAAGAAAATACAGGCCAAGTCTATGCTGTCTTCAGGAAACACATCTAACCTGCAAGGATGCTATATAGACTAAAATAAAAGGGTGGAGATCAGTATTCCAGGCAAGTGGAAGCCAAAGAAGGCAGGCGTGGCAGTTCTAATTTCAGACGATTTAGTTTTTTAAAAGCAACAAAAGAGTGAAAGACAAAGAGGGTCATTATATAATGGTGAAGGCACACTTCAACAAGAAGAGATAACAATTTTAAATATATATGCACCCAACTTAGGTGCACTCAGTTTCATAAAGCAAAGCTTACTGGATCTAAGCAAATGGATTAATAGCCACTCCATAATCACCCGAGATTTCAACACCCCACTGACCGCATAAGACAGATCCTTCAAACAGAGAATTAATAAAGAAATAATGAACTTAAACAAAACCCTGGAATAATTTGGTCTGACTGACATCTACAGGACATTCTACCCCAGATCCACTGAATATATGTTCTTCTCATCAGCTCACGGGACATTCTCTAAGATTGACCATATCCTAGGACACAAAGTAAATCTCAAGAAATTTAAAAAAATAGAAATCATACCATGTACCTTCTCAGATCACAGTGGAATAAAAGTAGAAATCAACCTAACAGAAACTCACATTTCTACACAAAAACGTGGAAATTAAACAACCTCCTGCTAAATGATTACTTAATAAATGAAGAAATCAAGATGGAAATAAAAAAATTCTATGAACAAAACGACAATGGACAGACAAGTTATCAAATCCTCTGGGACACAGCTAAAGCAGTTCTGAGAGGAAATTATCTCCATAAATGCTATAACCAAAAGTCAAAAAGATCACAAATAGACAATCTAACGAAACGACTCAAAGAGCTGGAAAAAGAAGAACAGACCAACCCCAAACACAGCAGAAGAAGTGAAATCAACAAGATCAAATCAGAACTAAATGAAATTGAAAACAGGGAAGCTATTCAGGAGATTAATAAAACAAAAAGTTGGTTCTTTGAAAAAATAAACAATATTGACACGCCGCTGGCTAAGCTAACGAAAAGCAGAAAAGAAAATCTCTAATAAGCTCCTCAGGAACGAAAAAGGAGATTCACAACTGATCCCAAAGAGATACAAGATATAATTTATGAATACTACAAAAATCTTTATGCACACAAACTGGAAAATGTGGAAGAAATGGATAAATTTCTAGAAACACATAGCCTCCGGCTCAATCAGGAAAAATAGATTCCCTGAACAGACCAATCTCAACAGCTGAAATAGAAACAGCAATTAAAAATCCCCCAGAAAGAAAAGCCTGGTCCAGAACTTCACACCCGAATTTTACCAAACTTCAAAGAAAATATACCTATCTTGCAGAAAGTATTACAAATCGAGAACAGAAACCTCCCTGACATTTTATGAAGCGAATATTACTCTGATAAAACAGGAAAGGATGCAACAAAAAAAGAAAACTACAGATCAATACTCTAATGAATATAGATGCAAAAATTTTCAACAAATCTTAGCTAACGTTCCAGATGCTTATCAAAAAATAATCCATCCACGACAAGGGGCTTCATGCCAGGGATGCAGGATGGTTCAACAATCATAAATCTATAAATGCATTCACCACATAAAACAAAAACAAAGACCACATGATTCTTCAATAGATGCAGAAAAAGCTTTTGACAATTCAACACCTTTCATGATATGAACACTTAATAAATAGGCATAGAAGGGACATACTTTAAATGATACAAATATATGACAGAACATAGCCAACATCATACTGAATGGGAAAAATTGAAAGATTCTCACTTAAAACTGGAACCAGACAAGGTTGCCCACTCTCTCTCTTATTCAACATAGCTGTGAAGTCCTGGCTACAGCAATCAGACAGGAAAGTGGAATTAAAAGGTATCCAAATAGGACAGAAGAGATCAAACTTTCACTGTTGCTGATGATACAATATTATATTTAGAAAACCCCAAAGATTCAACAAGAAATTCTGTAACTGATCAATGAATTATAGTAAAGTCTCAGGATACAAAATCAATACACAGAAATTAGAGGCATCATATACGCCAACAACAACAAATTGAGAACCAAATCAAAGACTCAATTTTCACATAGCAACAAAGAAATTAAAGTACCAAGGAAATACTTAACAAGGAGGTAAAAGACTCTATAGGAGAACTATGAAACACTGAGGAAGGAAATAGCAGAGGATGTAAACAGATGGAAATCCATACTATGCTCGTGGATCAGCAGACTCAACATCAACATTAAAATGTCTATACTACCCAAACTGATCTACAGATTCAATGCAATTCCTATTAAAATCCCATCAGCATTCTTCACAGATATAGAAAAAATAATTTTACGCTTGTATGGAACAAAGAGACCCCGAATATCAAAAGCAATTCTAGGCAACAAAAACAAAATGGGAGGCATTAATATGCCAGATATCAAACTATACTACAAAGCTGTAGTAATAACAATCTGGTGTTGCACAAAAATAGAAATATTGACCAGTGGAACAGATGTGAGAATCCTGATAAAAATCCTCATTAGCCATCTAATCTTTGACAAAGCAGACAAAAACATACGCTGGGTAAAGAATCCTTTTCAATAAATGGTGCTGGGAAAACTGGATAGCCCCCTGTAGAAGCTCAAACAGAACCCACACCTTTCACCTCTCACAAAAATCAACTCACGCTGGGTAACAGACTTAAACCTAAGGTATGAAACTATTAGAATTCTAGAGGAAAAAGTTGGAAACACTCTCCTAGACATTGGCCTAAGCAAAGAGTTTATGAAGAAGTCCCAAAGGCAATCACAGCAGCAATAAAAATAAATAAATGGGACATGATCAAACTACAAAGCTTCTTCACAGCCAAAGAAATAGTCATGAAAGTAAACAGACAACCTACAGAATGGAGAAAATTTTTGCATCTACGCATCCGATAAGGGGCTGACAACTAGAATATACTTAGAACTCAAGAAAATCAGCGAGAAAAATTCAAATAACCTATTAAAAAGTGGCAAAGGACTTGAACAGAAACTTCTAAAGAAGACAGAAGAATGGCAACAACATATGAAAAATGCTCAACATCTCTAATCATCAGGGAAATGCAAATCAAAACCACAATGAGATATCACTTAACTGCAGTGAGAATGGCCTATCAAAAAGTCTCCAAACAATAAATGCTGGCGTGGATGTGGGAGAGAGAGGAACACTCCTACACTGCTGGTGGGAGCGCAAACTAGTTCAACCTCTGTGGAAAGCAATATGGAGATACCTTAAAGCTATACAAGTGAATCTACATTTGATCCAGCAATCCCATTGCTGGCATCTACCCAAAAAGATCCAATGACACTCTACAAAAAGACACCTGCACTCGAATGTTTATAGCAGCACAATTCATAATTGCAAGGCTGTGGAAACAGCCCAAGTGCCCATCAATTAGTGAGTAGTTTAATAAAATGTGGTATATGTATACCATGGAGTACTATTCAGCTCTAAGAAACAATGGTGATATAGCACATCTTATATTTTCCTGGTTAGAGCTGGAACCCATACTACTAAGTGAAGTATACCAAGAATGGAAAAACAAGCACCAGATATACTCACCAGCAAATTGGTATTAACTGAACAGCACCTAAGTGGTCACATAGTTACTATAGTAATAGGGTATTCGGCAGGGGGGAGGGGGGAGGGGGGCGGGTATATACATATATAACGAGTGAGATGTGCACCATCTGGGGGATGGTCATTCTGGAGACTCAGACTTGTGGGGGAGGTGAGGAAATAGGCATTTATTGAAACCTTAAAATCTGTACCCCCCATAATATGGTGAAATTAAAAAAAAAAACCCAAAAAAACACAACAAAAAAAAAACTCCACTCTCCACCCTCTTTGAGCTGAAGTGGCTACTGAGCAGACCAGAGTTGGGCATTTGGTAATTTGCTAAACCACACTGGCTCCTGCCTGGATTCTGACTAGTGAATATGGAGGGAACTAGTTTAAAACAACAGGATTATTTAGTCAACAACAGACTAAACAGTCAACACTAACTAGCTTGTCCCTAGAGCTGCCTCATTTCTTGCAGATGTTCCTCTTGGAGCTAAATGTATTTCTTAGACAGCCTCAATGAGTTTCTGTTCATTGTAACCAGAAAGCCTGCTAGGATTTCAGGTTTCTCAAGGATAGGGATCCATGTATTTTTGTACTTCCTACTTTCACTTAATAGTGTCCTGTGTGTAGTAGGGCCTCAATAAATATTTTTTGGGATAAAAATAAAAAGTATCACTACTGCTCTTCAGCACATAAGGGGTTAGGGAATAATTTTGCAAATTTCTAAATGATTTTTATTGACTATATTTTAATTTTACCTGAGCATAATCTTCCACAATTCTCACTTCTTCTGCCATAATTTCTTCATCCTGCTTAACAAGCATCTGAACTTTCTCAACTACTTGTGAATCTTTCTGTAGTTTTTCCATTAGGGTTTCTATTTCCTAATGAACCAAACAAGTCTTCTTAGAATGAATTTTAAGAGACATGATCTCCTTTTTTAAAAGAGAAATTCAAGTAGCTCATTTCATTAGTATAAAATTTATCAAAATCAGCCTGAAATATATTTAATAGACTCATTAGGTGACTGGAATATGTACCATTTCATACCATATACATAAAGAATGATGATGAATGAGATTTTTAGAATATGTGAAAGACTGCAGGGCACCACAGATTTAACTGTCTAACTAGGGAATCTTTCTATACAAGCTTCCACTGTTATATAACTGTTATCACATTTAATTATTAAAATGTAATAATGTTACTATTTTGCTGTTACTGTTGTTTTTCTCGTTTTATATATAAGAAAATTGAGACTAAAAAAGGTGAAGTAATTTCTTCAAGGTTGTATAGCTTCGTGGTAACAAAACTGGAATTCTAGCTCATCTTTGTCAGGTATCAGAGCCTTTGCTTTCAAATACTGTTCTATATTAGACTATAGAATCTTTAAAAGAGATTTCAAATAAAATATACCTTTGTTTTTTGTTCTATTTGAGGCCCAAGAATCAAAAGCTCCTCTTGCATATCTGTAACTAGTGTGGTTGCTTCCAGGATCTTGGATAGACCCATACAGAAACAATCCCTGAAAAAAAAGTATTAAGAAGGTTTAAGATATGACAAAATATTAGCAAACATAATTTGATAATATATAACAAGAATTATACTGAATTATGGCCAACTGCAGTTTATTCTAAGAATATAAGACTGGTTCAATATTTGAAAGTCAATCAATGTCATTCATTGTATCAACAGGATGAAGAAGAAAATTCACTTCGGTTTCAATATCAATTGACATAGAAAAAGCATGTAATAAAATTCATGACAAAACTCTTTTAAAGCTAGGAATAGAGGGAAATTTCCTCAACTTGAAGAACAGGTGCCATTAAAAATGAAATGGACTCTCAAAGGAAAACCTTAAAAAGATAACTGGGCATCTGAGGCTCAGCCCTCACTGAAGCACACACTTAAAGATAGGCAATTTGGGATTTAAATATAATAATTCCCCAAAGGGGACCTCCCATTTAAACAGAATATTTAATTATAAATTTGGGGGTGGAGAAGAGGTCCAGATCTGCTGTAAGAGACCCAAACCACACAATTAACCGTTCCTACTTTCTCCTCCCATGTCTACCCCTGGGAAACTGGTCTACTGAAATCTGTTGAGTAGCAAAGAAGAGGTGGGCAGTGGGGAACTATAACCTGGTGCTTATTTTTTTAATTTTTATTTTTTGCTACCTAGTTATACTTACTGGATATGGGAAGTTATGGATTTTGATGATAATGATCTTTAGGTGACAACTCTTAAGAGTGTCCTGGTGTGGCCTGCACTTCAGTGGGTGGGAGATGGTCTAGGACAGTACAGGCCCTGTGAGGAAGAAACTACTGAGCCACCCAGGGATGCGTCTGCGCACATGGCATAGGTAAGACATGAGGAAGACTGGAAAAGGCGTGAATTGATAGCGATGGAGACTGGTCATACCGATTACATGGCTATGAATGGAGAGCAATAACCTGGATGGTAGGGAGGGAACACTTTAGCTCCCATATGGTTAGGAGTAAAAAGGAGGGTCCATTAATCTGTCTTGACTCTTGTCTGTAGAGCATCTGGTCAATTTACCTAGACTGCTGACATCATCCTCCATTTAATGGCTGACCAACAAAAATCTTAACCTAAGAACTCTTAGAAACCCCAGGAGCTACTGACCCCAGGAGTGAACAGCCTGCCTCTACTTGAAACAATAGAATAAGATTAACTTTTGGAACACAGATATGATTCCCTTTAGCTTCACTATATTCACAGACTATCTTAACTGCAGCAGATCTACCTGATGTTGAATCTGTCACGTTCTACCTGACCTTGTTAACAACTTAATAATAAAATTAGACCCTGACTCCACATTAGCATAATGTTGCTATTGAGGTTGCTACTACTTCTTATGTAAACATCAGGCCTGTACTTGCCTGCCATACACAAGATAGTTTAAACTCTCCAGCATGACTGGTAGTGAAAAATTACATTGCCCCGGACTTCCTGCTGGCCAGTTGAGGCAGAGGATGTGTGATTGCTCATAGCTCTTGTTGTGCCTGGATTCATAACATTCTTAACTGGGTTGGCTCCAGTAAGGGAGCCTGTCTGAGGTCTATCCTCCAAGTGGGAGTCATAGTCATGGTCAAATTCATCCAATGTTCCCTAAGACAAATAGAATGGATTTGGCCCACCCTCCTATCAGTACAGTTACTTAGGGTATCTGATGGAGTGGCCTGATTTCAAAAAAGAATTCTGAGTTGGCTACATGACAGGTTTGGGGGATGGACTTGGAGAAAAATGGTTCCACAGTGGTGCCTTTCATGTGGCAACCTTTCATGTCTCCACATAGGTTATATAGGCCAGCCTTAACTGCAACTGATCTAAATGTTGGCAGAACACCCTTGATCCTCCCAGAACACAGGAACTTGTGAGCAGATGCTACAAGGTCATTTCCCACAGTTCCTCATCTTCCTGGGAGGTTGTAATGAGATACTGTCTCAATGTTTACTGGGCTCTGATTAGGTATGAGGCTTTCTGCCTCAAATTTCCTCCCCCACCTCCTCAGGTACAGCTTCTGGCTATTAAACTGCTTTGGTGCATCATGGCGTGGGATCCTCAGCAATAGAGTGTTCTACTATCTGTGTGGCAATCATCTGTCATCCCATGGGACATGGGTGGCACTGTTAGCTACTCTTGCTTTCATTGTCTAGGCAAGTAATAAGCTGTCTGAATTGAACAAGGGCTCATTGTTTACAAACTGGCTGAATCTGTCAGCCTTGCCTTGATAGGGGCAGCCTTTGAATGCACACAGGAAAAATACCAACTTTATCTCTTTTAAGATCTTTTGCAGGCCGGGCGCTGTGGCTCACGCCTGTAGTCCTAGCTCTTGGGAGGCCGAGGCGGGCGGGTTGCTCGAGGTCAGGAGTTCAAGACCAGCCTGAGCAAGAGCAAGACCCCATCTCTACTATAAACAGAAAGAAATTAATTGGCCAACTGATATATATATATAAAAAAAAATTAGCCGGGCATGGTGGCGCATGCCTGTAGTCCCAGCTACTCGGGAGGCTGAGGCAGAAGGATCACTCGAGCCCAGGAGTTTGAGGTTGCTGTGAGCTAGGCTGACGCCACGGCACTCACTCTAGCCTGGACAACAAAGT